GACGTTTCGGACTCTCACTTGAATCCATCATCAGAGACAGTGCCACTCAACATGTATTTCTTGGCGCCTAACAATTCTCGGTGTGGTAAAGCAAACTACCGTCGAACAAGTTTATTACTGAGTTGTGTGACACGAAACGCCACAACTTTATAGAACAGAAGTATATCAGTCGGATTTGTCCCCTTTATCTGCAATTCCTCATACCCGCCCTCGCCTGATTTTCAAGGAAGAAAAATCGAATTTTCCGTTTCAAGAAGGGATTTGTGTCGTATTTTTTGTTTATATTTATCTTGATTTGCAGCACACTGCGCATATACATGCGCTTTTGATCTTTGAATCTCAATAGCGTAGCAAATTACACGCATATCAAGAAATGTCAGATTTCGCTTAAATCTGTCCTTTTTCTCTTAATAAAACTGAGCTGAAATGAATTCATTTTCGGTAAATGGCTTTCTGTGCCTCGTGCCAATTCCATAAACACAAATAACACCACCAAATGTATGACATACTTCTCACTCGATTTTCGATCACGACATTTAATGAGTGAGACCACCTCCTTTATGTTGAATGTTTCGAAAACATCGGCGGGAAATACAATAAATAACAAATCGCTGGGGCAGTACATTTTAAGAAAATGTGAGGAAGCCAGCCTAAGCTGGTATGCTTTTAGCTTTGCCGTAAGTGAGCGGGGCAAATATATTTCGCAATTTCAACGGTCTTGGGAATTTTCGCAAACTTTTGGAAACTTTTTATCAAAGGTAATTTGTGCTGGCTCTAGGATTGGTGCTCATTCGATGTAAATTTATTACAACGGCTTATCCATTGAAAGCCCCCGACTCCAGGCATCATTACCACACCTCTCCTAACCTTCACACACATGCATCCCTAAGCCGCATGTGACCCCTCCTTACACCACGCACCGCACCCCGTAACGGCCATATCTCCTTCCAGCACGAAGCACGCTATCTGTTTTGCCGTCGCCGGTATCGCCGGCGCAAAATCAAATGCCGAACATGCACATCTCACGTAAGTGGGAAGCATGTTCTTCGATGCGCCCATGTAAATGGGGTAGTCAGGTCGTGTGTGACGCGCGTAAACAAGCTGTCTAACTCCGTCGGCTACTGCACCCAATTTCATCATCAGCTGACTGACAGGCTCGGACATTTAACTGGTGTATGAGAGGGAAAAGGTGGCCGCCACTGGGAATCCATCCTCGCGGCGAAGCAGCGCATTCTTCGCTATAAAAAGTCGAACACACCTAAATCTGTAGCGACACACAAAGTCGTGACATGAAAGATTGTCAACTGACGGGGTATTTTGGTTTTTGTAGTCAACACCGCGTGCATGTGGAATGACAGACTGGAGGACTGACTCGGGCTCTGGTTTCTTACTGGAGCCTCTATGGCACTCACTAATGTGAGATCCGGCCCGCCCCCCTCGTGTAAGCCTGACACACGTAATGGGGACCAGGTCGTGTGTGGCGCACGTAGATAGGTTGTTTAGCTGCCAGTCACTGTGCCCGAGCCCACCCCCTGTCGTCATGGCATTTTCTTACCATGAAAACCTGGTGAGGGAGGAGAGAGCGAGATAGTGATGCGCAAGTCTTCCTCAGTATGAACTAATTCAAGCACAGGTCGTCGGTGCCGGGTCCACTCCGTGGGGTACACGGTGGGGTCCATCGATCAGGACGGTCGAATTATCACACCCTATCAAATTTTGTTACATCTCTTATAGGCCAATCCCCCATCGTTTGGAACTCCGAGCTCTACATGCGCAACTTCTGACCACACAGTGGACCCTCAACCCGGAAGTAGCATCGGTAAGCTGGTCCTGATTATCTCCTTCTCAACTCTGTCCAGAGTTATGCCTCGAATTCTTGCATTCAGTCGATCTGTTAAATCAGTCTGATGGTGGAACCTTTCAAAATAACCACAATACGCCTTTGTATATAATCTTATCTGAACCGGACTTGGTTTATTAGATGTCTCTATTTGTCGACCGTCTTGATTAACTAATGGTCGGAATTAAAAGTGCGCGAGTCTAGAATGCTCAGTCATACTTTAGGGTCTCCCAGGTGCAACCCTAAACCCAGTTCCGGACAAAATTTTATTGAGGGTAGCAGTAATAGCCAATCCTATTTGTATTCAGGGCCACTTATTTTTGATTTTTAGGTTGTATTTGGGTGGGTAAGACTCAGTTATCAAGTATCCTTGTTCAATGAACTTGTTGAAGTAGGGCAGATGGAGCTTTGTCGAGCTTCATGTCTCACGCCAGGCGCCAAGCGCGTTTCAATACCACAGGCGCCCATCCAGTCGACTTCACTGCAACACTGGAACTCATACTTGGGATAATCGAAACAGCAATCGGAAACTAGTGTTTCGATGCCCTTAAAGATTCAGTTATATTTCATGAAAAGCACGCATCAAACATTCACTCTTCTGCTCATTTGGTAGAAAAGTACTTCCAATTTCATACCCGAAGGAAGGGTATAATTCGGCCTTTAAAAAGTTTCCAATTGTAACATTTTTTAATACCGTGGGATGGCCGTTCATAAAACGTCATGTATCTGCATTTACCAATGGATTTTGTAAAGTTTACAGTATTGCTCAAACCCACTGCTAAATTTTATGAACCCCATATAGTCTCCTCTTAATACCGTAGAGAAATGTATGGTTTTCGGTACGCAGAAAGTATACGGCTTGTAGTTTGAAAACCCTGAATGCAAGTGTAACGGCAGGTCGAATTCAAAATTATTCGGGAGTTGGAAAAGTTTTTGAAGACTGAATCATACCCTTCCTTCAAGTGTAAAATTGAAAAAAGACGTATCTTTCTACCGAATGAACAAAGGAATACGTATTTGTATGCATTTTCATGAAATATAACTGAATGTTTAAGGGCATAGAAAATCAGTCAGAAGAATGCATGCTACATAAGTAGTCATTTTTACAGAGTACTGTTTTTGCATGCAGCCGGAAGGGAGTTCATTCGAAAGCCTTACCTTGAGGTAACTGAATTATTATAGAAGTATGCTGTATGATGGTTAGTTTTACAACCCTACGTAATTAATCTATTCGAGACGAAAACGCATTTCGAAATTCCGGTTGACATTTCACCAGTTAGCCCACCTACTGTAAACTATTCTGTCTTTTGAGCCGAAATAAATAGGAAAAAGAGCTAAAATTACCTCCCTGCCGACAAAGGAGGACCAACACCTATGATAAGTCGAAGTGACTACCCTTAAACCAGTAATCTAGCATACCAAAACATACGTAGCATGCCAAAACAAGGAAAAGTCAGGTGCGCTGACTGCCAGTTGATTTCGCATGAAGTCAGTGTGGATGCCTTTTTCCTGTGCACAGACTCTAGCCGGCATAAAATAAACTCCCTGACAAACTTCGGCAAAAGGGTTCTTCAGACCACACTGGCAGACATTGGATGCCGTCCGTTCTGTTGACAGAGTTTGAACCAGCCGATAGCCATTATACCCCCCCCCTCCAGATGTTTTCTCCAAAGTTACCTGGCCTCGCCGTATGTCGTTCGTCAGACATCATCACTCACTGTTTTATGTCCTTTTTGTCGAACTCTTCATAAATTATGTATTTGTTGCTTCTGTATACCTCTACCACCTTCGGTCCGCTGGTTTTTGTTTTTCCTGCACTAGTGAAAAACAACGCCTCTGAACCATCAGCAATGGCCGACCAACCCGACCCTGAGGAATTAAGGCGAAAACGGACGAATTACTACGCCCACCACTAGGATGCCTCATCAAACCATTGATATGAGCGCTGGATCTATCTTTAAATTATTTGATGAAAGACTTACTTCTATTTTGCCATTCGTTTTAAACCTTTCCCGTCCAATTTTACAGAAAATCCGAAAATATACTAAGCAAAATCGAGAGTTGGTCGACATTCGTCTTCGTGTATATTTTTCCCTCGAGTGCATTACATCATGAAAGGCAGATCAATGTTGTATTCGCCTGTACCAACGTAGAGAGACCCGTAGATCGGCCTGCGTGGAACGTGGAAGAGAACGTAGCCGAGCCACGTCAAGCTTTTGACAAATATTAAGCTCCCCCCGCGTTCACATTGCAGAATCCAGCAACCTACATTGGTAAAATAGAAATATGAGAAATTCGGAAGACGGGACACCTGTGCTTTCTTGTTCTAGCTTCGCTTTCCTGTGATTTCATCATTGTCGTCAGCTGGTCTTGGCCCTACATGCGTCAACTGGGACAGTATCATAATACATTCGTAAGGAAAATTAAAGTAGGTGTGGCAAATGCGTCCACGTCTAAGCCTTGAAAGTGCCTTTCCGCCTTCTTCGGGGTGCACAAACCCGTAATCATTATCAATTGGGCGCATATTGGCACTGTTCACTTCTCCTCTGTATCAGCATTCGCCTTGCCTTCATTAGACAGTTCAATGCACCCTTCTATTGCATTTAATTAGCCCCGCACCTAGGCCCGAGATCAAACCAGTGAGCACGCCGAGAGCCGCGGGGTTCAAAGTGCTCTCTATGGATTGTTACGTCCATTCCTACTAGGCGTTTTAACTCTGTTTAGTCGGAGCCCGTTCCAGACGCCACTACTTCGCACGCAATTTCTCTTTTGATAAGAAGAAGCAGTCGCTGGGCAAAGGGCTCTATCCGCCTGACGTTTCGGATTCTCACTCGAACCCATCATCAGAGACAGTGGCAGAAACGGGTAAATCGTGCAAAGGAAGTTGCTGTATTTATAGGATGCACTCGGTATGCTATCGCGTGCCTGTAGTAATTACTCGCGCTCCCCTTCAAGAATTGTTGCACGGTGGTGCGCCAATTGCTTGATGGCCGGCCTTCAAGTTGTTAATTGTTGAAACCTCATCACCCGTGTACTTAATCTACGTCGGGGGCCGTCGTTCGTACTTTCATTAACCTCAGCCGTCATCAAAGGCTGGCATTCTTGTTTACGCTGTCACGACTGTCTGATTTCTCATCTGTGTGACTACTGGATGGTACGGCTGTAATAACGACTGCACCTTCGATTCGCATTTTTTGCAAGCTGTCCTTCGTTATATTTAGATCATGTGAATGTGCAATGCTGTGAAATCTTTCGTCTTCGAGGGTCGGTCGATATGTCGGGGAACGAAATGTCGCTATCCCAAATTCACTTTTTAAAGGGTAATAGGTGTTTTGGCTTACAGTTAAGTATGTCCGATTTGCTACGATCCTGACGAAAACCAAACAAAGGAATTCTGGGTAGGAGGGGGCTCACATAACCTCACGGAAGTCCTCCTGAATACACCTTCAACTTTAATGCATGTAACGACCGCGCACTATTGTGCGGGTCGGAAACCTGGCCAATAAGCCAAAGTCTCCTATGGACGATATTTGCTTGAAATTTCGTGCCAGAAAATTATTGTGTACGAATCAACGAGGTCTAACCAGTAATTTATGAGGTTTTACGCTTATACCGTTGGCAGCCGTATAATGTGTGCATAAATCGTCTATCAAAAAAGCACAGCGAGACAGTTTTCGTAAATCAAGAATGGTATTCATAAACCCAAAATAAAGAAGACTTCGAAATTATATCTTGATGCGGAAAAGCACTTCTAGTAGTTTTCGTCGTCTAGGACTAGAGTCGCTTAATAAGGCCAAGTTTAGGAATGCTACAGAATCTGCTTATCTGAATGATAGGATTCCCAACTTTGTCATCAGAAACTGGTCCGTGAACGACTTATCTGTGTGGTGTGTCGCGAAACGGCTGTGCACTGGGCGACGTACGTACAATCGCAAGTTACAGACTTCTATCCAAATATTCTTAAAAAATTAAGCTATCGATTCTTAATATCTGCGTGTTCTCGGACGTTATGGTGTCGAGACTGGAGCGGCATCACATGGCGCTACTGAATAGCGTTAAGCAACGCATTTCTGCTATCTCAAAAAAGGCAGCAAATCTGTGGCATGTTATTGGATAGAAACGTGTCGTTGGACTGCGCTTTTATTCTTCGTCTTAACTCCATGCGTTCTAATGCCCAAATATAGATGAAATGGTAGGAACGCGTATCCCGTCCTGGTACTGTATCATAGTCGCCTTTTTTGAAAAATGAATAGTTGAATTTCCTAACAGTATTTGGCAACAGCGGAGTGTATTCGTAGCATAGCTGAGCGAACGGGATTGGTGATAAGCAATAGTGCCACGTCAATGGTCTAGACTTGATTCCGAACTCGTATTAAAACCTTCATAGAAGAAAATCTTATAGAGCAAACACAAACTGCTGACATTAAGCATACAAGTTCGATTTACCTTTTGGTATGTCGTTCTCAATTGTATCGAGGAAGTCAATGCATTTGTCGCTCTTTACTTTATCTTCCAGGGGTTTGTGAGGATATTTTACGGGTGGCCGAAAATGAAAATATGAAGACGGTTTCATCGCATCTGCGACTTCCATTCCTAGCGCAAATATACGGGAGTGATGTGCGTCTACCTTCGTACATTTTGTTTCTTACGATGTCGCCATTTGCTAATCTAATATATGCACCCCTTGGTACGATGCGCACGTCGTCATCTATCCTTTTTACTACGGCGGCTAATCGATCTTCCTCCTTCATCGTGATCTAAGGAAATCACCTCAATCACATAACGTACCGTTCGTTCCTTTTCGTTGATTTCGTCACCCTCCCCAGGCACCTGAGTGAGTTCTGTATGTTCAAACTCATAGGAAGGGTCGCCGGTAAATCTCATTTTAAAATACTTTGATTTTTCAATGTCCGCTTGTGATGGTACAGGCATCATCACCCAACTTATGCAGTCCTTGCTAAAAAAAATTATTTCTATTATCTAACAAACCTGTAAATTGTTTCCAGGTCTGTCATACAGTTTTGGCCGACGCCCTGAGCAATATAATAGTCTCCTTTAACTCCGCGAATAATTCCCCAGAAGTTTTCGATCGTAAATTTTCTCTCATGTTTACCAATTGTTAATGAGGTCTGGAGGGCTGCCCGTTTTTCGGGATTTAAGACTATGCCACACGTGCCAAGATACTCTATTTTTATGTGAAGATCTGACGAATCCATGGGTAAGATTAAATAATCCCTGCTATGGTTGCTATGCCCACGGATTGTTTAGTCAAAAAAAAACAAACAGTCTTTTATCAGGTCTTGGGCTCTGTTTTTGGCCACTTCCAGTAAGCTTCGACTTCTGAGGAAGGCTGCAGAGACTTTGAGAAAACCCCGTTTAGGATACAACTTTCAAAGTATTCGTTGTAGTCCCCATCTCGATCTGCAAGATGACTGGAAATAAGTAAACAAATAAGGCAAAAAATGTCCGCAGTTAAAATTGGAAAAAAATAAGACCCGATTCTTATGATGATAAAATATTTCCGAAACTACATTTGTTCACAGCTCAGTGCTTTAGCGATGGTGCAAGTATTGACTCTGTCGGCCATTTAAACCCCGATTCCGATCTATAAAAATTGTGACCTATTGTATTGCCCTCACTAGCCTTATTTTGTTTTATTTACAACCCCCACTTTTGATCCCATTTCTGAAGGCTGCCGGTTGGGAACACAACTTAACTCGACTTTAAGACTTTCAAAAGTCTGCTCCATATACCCAGGCTTCCCGTGGACAAGGTCAACTGCCTGTCGCTGGTATGCGCGTAGTTGTGGTCGTACGCCTTGAAAGATAGTTGATTGGCAAACGGTGAGCTTTAAGCCTCAGCGCAATTTCCACTTACAAAATCCATAGTTGGATCAATCTGCCGTTCATCAAATATTATCGACCAATTTCTGATAGTCAGTAGTAACGATGAAGTGTAATTTAACTGTTTCTCTCATAAAATCACTTTAACGAACTAACGACATGTCCTTATATTTCGAATAAACTGTTTGCATATTCATGAACTAGACCACATTATGCAACGAAAACAGTACGCAGTTCACAATTTGAGTAAGTCCTCACAAGAGATACCGAATTTAGTCCCGCGAGCTAGGAATTAGGGGATGTCCCAAAAACCAATGGTGTACGTTTCGTGGAAAAGGTTGCCCGCACTGAATTGATGGCGCTAAACTGGTTGCAGTCGGCGTTCTGGATTTTATGCCGTCGAAATTTCCAATGGGACTAGCTAACGGACCAGCACAATCGCTCGCTATACGTTTCCAATCTCCGATTGATGCCGGCTGTTTGTCGCCGATTAGAAATCTGCACAGATCCCACCACTGAAAGAATGCAACAACTTGGCTTCCGCAAAAAAATTCCGTTGATCAACCACGATTCTGTCTACTACAGAATTATAGCAATAATTAAACGACTGTTAATGTGTTTTCTAGAATAGCATCCTCTACATTCGGCTGCCTAGCACAGAGTCCGTGGCGGTTGGTCTTAATTGACAAACCCCCTTTACTTTTTAGAACGCTGGCATCAAACATTTGAAGTTCAGGGTACGGTGAATGTAGTCTACATTGACTTTATGAAGGTTTTTAGTAGTATAGCACACCAGCGTCCCATGTAGTCTTAGCATAGAGAGTGGAGGCAATCTTCTGTTGAGGATTCCAAACTCCGTAACTGACCATTCTCAATTTTCCCGTATCGGTAATTAGTAATGAGCGAATGTGGTTGTCAAGTGTATTTTTCCCAAAGTCCAGTCTCTGATCTTACTTTGTTCACTATATTCATCAATGACTGCGTCAGTATATTGGCTTGCTTTTTTGCCATCTTTGACGGTGATATCAAGCTTTGGAGGGCCATCTACCACAAAGTTGGTGACGAGCATTTTCAGGAAAACTATGCCCAACTTAGGCAGGGGTCGAATAAACGAATCCGACCGTTCGATGTGAACTGTTGCAGTTATCCGCAAGTCGACTGAACTAGGCCTTCGAACCGCTGGGTTTACCATCCGAACGAAATGCTTTTGCAGGAGTGGGTATCCATATACCTGCGTGCGTGGAGATCACAACTTCAATGTACTTCGTAAATCATCTTTAGGGGGTACGAGACCAGCGTTCATGAGCTATTTACCACAGATGACTGCGCGGCAAACACCCCAACGGAAAAGAACATGCAGCGAATTGTAGACCTCTTCTCCTCCGGCTGCCCCAAGTTTGGTCTTTTCATCAGCATGGAGAAGACAGTGACACTGCGTTGACTAGCGTCAATTACTAAATATATCGAACCCCTTACTGGCTTCAGTGGCAATCACCTCGCAGCAATTTCGAAACCCGTGTACCGTGTGAGTACAACTTTAAAAAAATAGAGTCGACAGCGAATTATCATGCCGGATATCCAAAGCCAGCCAAGCCTTCAACCGGTAAATAATAATAATAATTTCTATTTAGGACCCATGGGGATCCCTTCATAGCAAGCAAGAATAACTTTTGCATGAATTTTGAAACAGGTGTACAGAATCTGTACAATACTTAATTCATAATTAATAAGCAGTAAGTTGCGAAGAATGATGAGGGAGCAGTGAAAAAGCTCCTAACATATAAACAAAATGCACATGACTGGAGTATTATCATAGGAGAAAAACTGTCGTTCGTGACGTAAAAAAGAGGTCGGGGCCTTTGCTAAATTCTTAGAAATGGCCGGGACTGACCATCTGCGTGGGCATCACTTCAAACTGCAGAGCAAGCTGGCTCATTCGGACGTCCGACGGGACGCCTTCTCTCACAGCGTCATTGGGGCATGGAACGGACTCCCTGATGCGTTGGTTCTTTCCGAAACTTTCGAATCCTTTAAGTGTGGAGTAGATGCTCATTTGCTGAGAAACTACTGTTCATATAATCACGGTTGATTTAGCGGCGGCAGTTTGCACCTGATTCATACTTACCGCTAGCTTTTGAATTTCCGCATTTGCTGATTTTATTGGTGATTCTACTTGTGTTTATCGATATTAATAAGGAGCTCAAGGGCGAAAGCCTCATTCCCCTAATAAACTGACTTAAACAGAATGAGTATGACTGGATTAACACTGTGGGAGAAAAAACTCTCGCTCCAGAATGTATAAAAAGCAGGCAGAACCGGCCAGTATGTAGCAGTCTATAACGGATTTTATGAAGGAGTAAGTAGGTGGGACAGGCAGGATTGACCTGCATGTGGTATTGAATAGAAGGTTCGAAATCGACCTCATCAAGGCAGAATTCATATGCCGGATGAAGCCCTTCATGTCAAAGTGGCAAATAAAAAAACGGTCTCGAGGCAATAGTAACCCATATGCGATCAGTTACAGCCAGCTTCGAGTTCAACCGAGGAGGTGGCAAGGGAGATGCGACCAGACTACTAGTATATGGCAAATACAGACGGCTCTACCAAGAGCGCCGATAGAGCGCATGCTGTGATGGGTATGATGCAGAACTGAAAAATCGTAAAAATAAACATTTCTGAGGAGGGATCCTAGGAAGCGATACTACACGCAAATGAAAGAAGTGTGAGCGGATACGGAAGGTTAGTAGCGGCGTCCTAAATTCCCGGTGGCCCTTTCTTGAAGGATGGGAAAAATAAAAGTTTAATCGAGTCAGTTTTCAAATAAAGGCGCAGCCTACTCTTAAAAGTGTGTAGATTATCAGAAGATCTTATATTTATTGAAAGGTTATTCCAGAGGATAGTATAACTGGAAACGATAAAATTTTAATTTAATTTCGGGATGATAGAAATTATAAGAAATAAAGCCACAAATCTGGGCAGCTTCGGCCGTAATTCTGTCAGCGTGTGGCGAAAGATCGAGATTGTTGGTGTAGCTTAAACCTAAATCCTTGATGGTGGTACATTCAGTCATAGGTGTGCCTTGAAGGACCACTGGTTGGGGTAGCCATTTAACGGCCGAGGACATCAAGGGTAGCACACACCAATGTAAGGAATCGCTGAGAAGAGATCCTGGCGGAGGTACAAACTGAACAGAACCGTTAACATCTCCTGATACGCATCCATACACAGGAGAAGGTGACATGTTGGGTAAGGGATATAGTGTAATATAACGAGGTGAGCAAGGGGAATGCGTGTAATAATTGTTAACAGTACAGGGAGGATAGTTACAGCTGAAGATTAACCTGTCTGGGTGGAGAGGCAACACCGACATGCCAGCTAAGTAACCAGTGGGGAATGCAGCGATGTGGGCAACTGCAGGGGAGGCCGAGGAAGGTGCCGACGTGGAGCGGAGGAGAACGATACGGAAGTTACGGTACGATGCGGGGAAGGAGTCGGCAGAAGTGAGAGGAAGGGCCACCAGTCATCTTCATCAGCACGCGATTACGTCATCTCCACCCTAGGTCCGCGCGCCCAAAAGTGTTACATCATTCAAACAATCCCGTTCGTGCCAAGGGACGTTACAATCAATCAGACCCAAAACACACACAGCGACATTTAGACGGAGAGGATTCCATTAGCCATTCTGAGCTTCGCGCTGAGAGAGCAAGCAAACCAGCATGGATTTGCTCCAGGCAATGAAGGGGTGTATATTTATTGAATGAATGATTGAGTTGCTAAAGCATTCCACCTGGAACTTTTGCGGCATTCTACCCTATCCAAAACTGGGTTGGAAGGGACTGTTCTGTTGAAAAAGCATTTATGCGGGATGGAGACGTGGGCAGTCTCTTAATGCCAGGCAAGAAATGTCAACCACTTTTACATCAGTTGCAACCGAAGAACGCTGAATGTACAGTAGGTGTGCTAACTCATGAAATGTGAACCGAAAGTCTGAAATGTGTTTTCGATTCGAAAAGATTACTTAAGTAGTGTTGTAAAAGTTATCATCATGCAACATAATTCTATAATAATTCAGTTACCTCGGGATCCGGCTTTCGAACGAATTTCTTCCCGGCCGCACGCAAAAACCACACTCCGTGAAAAATGGCTACTTGTGTAGGATGCATTCTTCTTGC